GCTGGCCGAGCGCTTTAAAAAAAATATAACACTTGCAATAAAAAATTTGAAAATCAGCAAAAATTTTCGAAAAAACGTGTCTTAGGTCAAAACCTGAAGGAAATAGTGTCAGAAAACATAAAAGTTCAATTTCGACATAAAATAAAGCTTATATAGTACATTAAGACCCGCTGAGCCTATAACCGTCCTCCGAAAATAATTTAAAAAATTCGCAGGGACGTTAGAGTCTCAAAAAGTTTTACGACATTTGCGTACATTGGCCATAACTTTTTGAGACTCAAGTGGACCATGCCCAAATTTTACATTTCAGTGTAGTTTTAGATGCTCTACAACATCACCGGATTAAGTTTTCATTCAGACTTTCAATCAGGTACCCCACCGGGTGTGACCCCCAAAAAGTCGAACCTGAGTCGAAAAATTCGACTTCGAGATAAATATGCTATATTGTGCTCTGATAGGTGCTGAATCCATTCCCGAAGCCCTTTTATTTTTAAAAAAATTTTAAAAAAAGTTATAGCCCAATAAAGGTCAATTTTTGACCCCCAAAATGTCACTTTTTGCCCTATAACTTTTCCAGACTCAAGTGTACCCCCAACAAAGTATATATTTTTAGAGGTTTCAAAGGACGCTCTACAACATAGGAAACTCAAATCGACTTTCAATTCACGCATTAAAAAGTCGACTTTTCGACCCGGACCTTTTGAACCTCATGACCCCCAGAACCAAATCCGAGACTCAAGTGGCCCCCAACAAAATTTTAGCCAACTAAGTGCCCTAACATACTAAAAAAGAGTTGGAGCGATTCGGCCTCTCATAAGCATTTTTATAATTACATCCAATGGGAGCCACCCTTCCCGATAGGGGTCCAAGACATTTTGAACCTTTGGCGAAGTGTAACTTTTTTCAAAATGGTCAGAAAAAATTAAAATAAATTTTTTCGGACTCAGCTCGATGAGAGCTTTCGATTGGTATATAATTTGTAAATTGTCGATCAATTTCGTCGGACGAGGTAGGACAATTCACCGACAATCGGTGAATTTTTGCCAACCTCCACAGGTCGGACAGTTGTTCCCAGGCCTCCAATTTTTTTTCAGCGTTATAGACCCTATCCCAACTTAGGGCCCTCACCCCAATCACTTTTTGATCCGACTTCACCTCTCCGAGTTACAGCCGTTTGAATTTTACCGACGGCCGTTTCGGCGCAGAGGTACGTTTTGGCGCCACGGCTATAATTTTCCTGAATGCGCGTCAAAAAGTTGTAGGACTAATGTACAACTCAAAAAAATCCCCGAGAACTCGTTCGACTCAAATTAGTTTTTAAACGAAAAAAGCCCGATTTTACCCACAAAAGAAGGGGCACTTGGTGGTTTTTTTTAGTATAATATAACCAGCGTTCGGCGCGAATGGCTGAGCCGGTTTGATTGCTTTTGGGTATAAAAGCTGACTCCAGCGTTATTACAACTAATTTAAATTAATTTGGATCAATTTCCCAATATTTGAAAACTTCACACTCAAATGTCCAACCCTCAGACTCAAGTGACACTCTTAAAAATATCTTCATTCAACTCCTCATTCAATTCCCCATCGAATGACACCTCAACCATTTAAGAAATAATTTTAAAGTCTGGCGGTTGCCTCCGGCAACGCGTTTTCTGCAACGCGTTCCGATTTCTTCAAAAAATAATTTTTAAGTCTGGCGGTTGCTTTCGGCAACGCGTTCAAGGCATAGCGATACAACATTAAAATTATTTTTCAGAAAAGTATTAAAAATTAGCATTTTTACAAAATTTTCATTCTCAGACTCAAATTTAAAAATGAGACTCAAGTGTCCTTTTTCTTAAAAAGTTATTTTTTAATATTCCCATTAATTTTTAAAATTTTTTAAATTAATTTCAACTGATTTTAGCCTTCAGACTCAAATATAACACACTCAGACTCAAGTGACCCTTTCAAAAATATTTTTAAAAAATTCGCCTGATTTTTCCGCGTCGAATGACACCTCAATCATATTTTTTCGATAACTACTTCAAAAGTTACAAAAAACAGCTCAGCGTTGCTTAACTTTCCAGATCGGACGGTCTAGATCGTCAAATTTAAAAATTTTTTCCCAAAATTTTAATTTCTTAAAAAAATTATAACTTAGGCCAAAAAAGCCCAAAAATTATAAAACAAAGCTTATTCGATGCAGAAATAAATTCTCTATCTTTCATCTCCCAACACTTTTCTTCTAACTCCAAAACAAAATAAAGTTAATGTCACTTTTATGCAACCTCCTTAAAATTTAAATTTTTACTCCATATCTTTTTTTAAGTTATTCCAATCAACTTGAAACCAACTTTTTTCTTAAGAACTCCACTACGCTCTACAACTTTTCTCCCAACCACTTTTTGCTCCCACCCCTCTAAACACCTTAAATCCAAAGTTACCACTATGACAAAAAAGTTGTCAACAGGCACATCTACCCTTCCCGATGTCAGAACGACTTCAACTCTTTTTCTATCATATTCTCCATGTTGTGGTGCTTCAACCTTGTAACTGACCCAACTTCCCCCGACTTCATCTTTCATCTCAAATTTCACTTCAAAGATACGAAAAAACACGTTTTTTCAAAATATCTAAAAAACTCGCCCCTTTCCCCCAACTTTTGGAGGTTTTCCTGAAAACTACATAGTATTGCGCATCTATAGCAAAAAACCCCACCCCGATACGCCCACTCAAAAGCTCTGGGGACTTTTTTTTTAGCTGACTGCCTTTTTACTATTATATATAGATAACCAGCGTTCGGCGCGAATTGCTGAGTAGTTTTAATAGCTTTTAGGTATAAAGGCTTACTCCAGCGTTATTACAACTGATTTAAATTAATTTGGATAAATTTCCCACTAGTTGAAAACTTCAGACTCAAATGTCCGTTCTCAGACTCAAGTGACACCTTTGAAAATATCTTCATTCAACTCCTCATCCAATTCTCAATCGAATGACACCTCAAACATCTTTGGACGACTAATACTTCAAAAATTATAAACTTTTGAATTTATGCATAAAAACATGCGGGCCTTCGGCCCGCATGTTTTCTGTAATGCGTTCGAAATTATAAAAAAATTTAATTTCTGGCGGTTGCTTCCGGCAACGTTTTATCTGCAACGCGTTCCGCATTTCAAAAAAATAATTTTTATTTCCGGCGGTTGCCTCCGGCAACGAGTTTTCTGCAACGCGTTCCGATTAAAAAAAAATAATTTTTATTTCCGGAGGTTGCCTCCGGCAACGCGTTATCTGCAACGCGTTCCGCATTTCAAAAAAATAATTTTTATTTCCGGCGGTTGCCTCCGGCAACGAGTTTTCTGCAACGCGTTCCGATTAAAAAAAAATAATTTTTATTTCCGGAGGTTGCCTCCGGCAACGCGTTTTCTGCAACGCGTTCCGATTTAAAAAAAATAATTTTTATTTCCGGCGGTTGCCTCCGGCAACGCGTTTTCTGCAACGCGTTCCGATTTAAAAAAAATAATTTTTATTTCCGGCGGTTGCCTCCGGCAACGCGTTTTCTGCAACGCGTTCCGATTTAAAAAGAAAATAATTTTTATTTCCGGCGGTTGCCTCCGGCAACGCGTTTTCTGCAACGCGTTCCGATTTAAAAAAATAATTTTTATTTCCGGCGGTTGCCTCCGGCAACGCGTTTTCTGCAACGCGTTCCGATTTAAAAAAAATAATTTTTATTCCGGCGGTTGCCTCCGGCAACGCGTTTTCTGCAACGCGTTCCGATTTAAAAAAAATAATTTTTATTTCCGGCGGTTGCCTCCGGCAACGTGTTTTCTGCAACGCGTTCCGATTTAAAAAAAAAATAATTTTTATTTCAGGCGGTTGCCTCCGGCAACGCGTTTTCTGCAACTCAATTTTCTGCAACTCAACTCAATTTTCTGCGTTTTCTGCAACTCAATTCCCAGACTCAAATCTAAAAATGAGACTCAAGTGTACTTTTTATTAAAAATTCATTTTTATATTATTTTCATTAAGTTTTAGAATTTTTAAAATTCATTTTCCACTAATTTTTACATTCAGACTCAAATATCCTACCCTCAGACTCAAGTGACCCCTTCAAAAATATTTTTAAAAAATTCGCTCGATTTTTCCACGTCGAATGACACCTTAATCATATTTTTCCGATAGCTACTTCAAAAGTTACAAAAACCGGCTCAACGTTGCTTAACTTAACAGATCAGACGGTCTAGATCGTCAAAATTAAAAAGTTTTCCCCAAAATTTTAATTTCTTAAAAAATTCATAACTTTTTCAAAAAAAGTCAAAAAAGCATAAAACAAAGCTTATTCGATGCAGAATTAAATTCTCTATTTTCTATCTTCCAACAATTTTTTCATATCTTGAAAACAAAATATAGTTAATGTCACTTTTATGCAAACCCCTCAAAAATGCACTTTTTACTCCATATCTTTTTTTCTGTTAATCCAATCAAATTGAAACAAACTTTTTTCTTAAGAAACCCATTACGCTCTACAACTTTTCTCCCAACCACTTTTTGCTCCGACTTCAAAAAACACCTTAAATCCAAAGTTACCACTTTGACAAAAAAGTTGTCAACAGGCACATCTACCCTCCCCGTTGTCCGAACGACTTCAACTCTTTTTCTATCATATTCTCCATGTTGTGGTGCTTCAACCTTGTAACTGACCCAACTTTCCCTGACTTCATCTTCATACTCATTTCCGACCTCAAAGTTTCGAAAAAACACGTTTTTTCAAAATATCTAATTTTTTCTCCATTGGACCCCAACTTTTGGAGGTTTTCCTGAAAACTACATAGTATTGCGCATCTATAGCTTTTTTCCCCACCCCGATACACCCACTCAAAAGCTCTGGGGACTTTTTTTAGCTGACTGCCCTTTTACTATTATATATAGATAATGGGTGGTTTGTATAAAATTTTTAAATTTTTTAAATTTTTTAAAGTGGTTGTTTTTTATAAAAAATTTTTAAAATTTTTAAGGCCAAACAGGCTCTCTGCCTGATTGGAGACTTTGACACCCTTAATGAATGTGAATCCTGGCGGAAATTTATTAATATTGCCACCAGATACACACCCGTAATTAATCACAATTTACTTTTTAGACAGACATCAACTTCATCTTCATCAACTCAAAATGAACAACCCGCACCACCTCCATCAAAAAACCACGCATGGCTGGAATGACAACAAAACCACCCCAGTCAACTACACAACCCTCACAAAATACTCAATCTCTCTCAAACTCACTCCCCACACTATCAACAATCCACTTCTCACTTCCCATCAAATTCATATTATCACCCTCAGCCTTACAATCAATTTAACTTTCCACACCGCCCACAATTTCCTCATACCTCACAAAATACTCAATCTAATAACAATACACAAATAAAATTTTTTGACAACCATTACTGGCAATGGTGAAAAGTAAAACAAGAATGGTACAAGGTCCCCCTCCCCCAAATAATTAATTTTAAAATTTAGTTATCAAATTAAAGTTATATTTTTAATAATTAACCTTCCCCAAATAATTAAATTTGAAAATCTAATTATCAAATTCAATTATTTCCCAAATTCAAATTTCCACCCACCTCCTTTTTCCCCTCAAAATTTTTTTGTTCTCTTCAACCCGGCACATTAGAGATCAAACGGTGCTAAAACAAAATAGTGCACCATTTTATTTCTAAAGCGCAAGGTGAAACTCCCAAAATATACTCCCCCAATGATCCCTTGTTTTAGCGGCGAAATAAATTCACCACTAAAACACCCAAATCCCCCACCCCCAAAAATGAAACAATTCGTAAGCGCGAGGTCGCGCTTATTGAAGGGCGATAGATGTTACGCATTATGAATTGCCAAAACTTGATTCATGTGATTTTGCGTTAATGTCGATAAAAATACATTTGACGGAAAATAGTCGGATATTTTACAGACTGGATTTTGAAATTATTCGGTAAATGAAGTTTTAGCTGTAAATCTTTATCATTTATAATGAATCTAAATTTAAAACTCGGTAAAAGGAAAATTGAACACAGCCTAGGACGAATTCTTTAACTAAGAGACATGTTAATATCTTATGGACCAGGATGTTATATTATATTTGTGTATCAAGTTTCGGTTCGAAAAAGTACAAATCCAATTGTTTAGGACTAACTTTGATGAGCTTATAAATGTAACGGCCATAGATTAATTGCGAGTTACGATAACCAACTTTATTGTTAAGGTTTGCCAGAATATAAGAGAATTTATAAAGTTAAAATAACGAAGGTTTCTTACTAGCATAAGTGGATCGTCGAATAACTGTAGCATAAAAATATTTAAAAACAAATTTAAAAATTCGAAAAATAAACTATTTGGTGAAATGTCCTCTTAATCTTAATTTTTGTCAATGAGGGGGGGGGAGTGAAGGGAAGGGAAGAGGGAGAGAGAAAGATCACTCCCACTTATTCAGCTTCTTAAAAGTTCACTCCCACTTATTCAGCTTCTTAAAAGTTCACTCCCACTTATTCAGCTTCTTAAAAGTTCACTCCCACTTATTCAGCTACTTTAAATTTCCCTTTATAAACAGGCCAAAATGGTTGATAGAATCACTCACTCATTATATTTTAATCAAATTAGGAAATTAAGGGAAGGGAAGTGCTTTGATGCTCTATTATAGCTACATTAATTAGCTTTAGATTTAAAAATACGATATAATTAACTTAAAAATATAAAATTATAAATAAGGATATAGTAAAGCAGATGGGCTATAGCTATTTCTCTCCTTCAGCTAGTGCAAAAGGTTATTTGGCAGCCGGGAGCGAACGAGCATCCGGATGTATTATCCATTACCCCACGCCGCCTACTGCACAGCCTTAGGAATTAAATAGCTATAGGCTTTAAAATAATAATTAATTAGGTACATTTTTGAATTCCTGAAGTATTTTTTAAAAGGGACAGCTTACTGAAGAAACCAATCTCTGACTCTTCCGAATACCCCGATATCGCTCATTTTTATTATCAAATGTATTTGAATCAATTTTTTAAAATTGAAATTATGTACTTTTTAATTTAAATTGTCTTTTAAATGGCACCTGACGAAACTTATCTCTGACAAAAGATCAAAGTAAATTTTAACTAAGGCTTTTTTGCTTCGGGCCTTCGGCCCTCGCCCCTAAATTTGGTTGAGCATTTTTTAAAAATTGGTAGCTATTCAATTCATTACCAATTTTTTATCAAAAATTTTTAAAAATTAAAATTTATTTAATTTCTCTTCACAGAAAAAAATTAACTAAAACAAAATTTAAAAATCTTCAATTTGAAAAATGAAGATTTTTATTTTCTTTTTATTTTTATTTTATTTGATAATTCCCCTTCAATGGCAATCTGTTGAAGGAATGAGAGGACAAAGAGACCGTTTGTTTTAATTTTAAAAATATTTTGGACCTCAATTTGAAAGTCTATAGGAAAATTAGATGTACAAGAGGTTTCCGTTTACTTCCAAGGTTCTCAAAATTGGAGATCTAGAATGTGCTCTTGCATTGAATTACAATGTTATGCTAAGTGGATATTTACGGTTCCGAAAAATAGTCGGCTATGGATTTCTTGCCCAGACACAATGACATTTACTGCTACTTCAATTTTTATATGGGGTCGCTGACGTTTTAATCCGTGTTTATTGAAATTGTCTCTTGAGCCCAACCCTGTTTAAAACCAGAAAATTAATTTACCAAAAATTTTTTATTATTACCTAAAAATATATAATTTCTAATATTTTAGATAGAAAAGGAAAGGCTGTAATGGGAAGTTCTTCAAGAAGTCAGCAAATAGCAAGCGTGGTTACTCAACCGATCGAATTTGCGCTCCCAGAGCTTACCTTTCTGATTGAAATGTTGAAAAAAATTCAACCCGATGATTTATTTTCTGGATTTAATATGGAAAATCAAACCGAGACGAAACAAAAAATAGAAAAGATGAATGGATCCTAGTGATGTTCGGGAGAAGAAAAAACTCGGGAAACGGGAGTGGGGAATTTACAATAAAAAAAATTTTTGCCGCCTTCGGCGCCAAAAAATTCCGGTTTTTTGCATTGCAAGGGAAAATTATGAGAATTTTGGAATGACAAGAGGCCAGACATCCCTTATTAGCGCCGCAGGCGAAATTTTTGAGAATTTTTGAAGGCCAAGAAGCCAGATTTCTTCATTTTTCAGCGCCGCAGGCAAAAATTTTGAGAATTTCAGAAGGCTAAGAGCCTAGATATTCTTCGATTTTCTGCGCCGCAGGCGAAAATTTTTGAAAATTCATGACTAACTTAATTTTTCTACAGTTTTTTACGTTTCTAATATTGAAAAAAATAAATTTAAAATTTTAAATCAAAATAAATGTTAAAAACCATTTATTTTTGGTAGGAAAAATTATTTAAATAAAATACCCCAACCCCGGATTCGAACCCAGACCAATCAAAGTAACTTAGGTTACTCAACTTAACCACTCAACCACCTCCCAACAATAGTTATCAGGGAAAAAATTTAAATATTTTATTTTCCTTTCCCTTGTTTTATTTTTTCTCTTTATTTTTTTCCCTTCAAAAATAAAATTTTATAAGAAAAAGCCATTCTTAGGGGTGTAAAAATTTCCCGACTTAGTCGGGAATTGCCATCGGGAGTCGGGATCGGGAGGCCAAAAACTCGGGAAATTTCCCGAGTCGGCTGTCGGGAGTCGGGATACCCGAACATCACTAATGGATCCCATAACTATTCATAAATGATCCTCGGGGACTTTTTAAACCCCCTCGTTAATTTAGAATATTTTTGGAATTTTGTCATATTTGGCGTCATCTGAAATCTGAGCCTCTTCGGCTTTTGCTGCAAAGCTACGGTGTACGGAATTTTCGTCTCTGGAACTTTCGTCTCCAAGACTTTTCGGAACTTTCGTCTCCAGCATTTTCGGAATTTTCGTCTCCAGCGGAATATTCTTCACCAAGGAAATAAACGGAATTTTCGTCTCCGCAATTTTCGTCTCCGCTAGGAATTTTCGTCTCCAGAAAAAATGATGTGGTCCGTCAACGGGGATGTTGTTCCGTCAACGGAGGAAGTTGCCCGTCAGCGAGGGATAGTGTTCCGTTAACGGGGGAAGTTGTTTCGGCAACGGGGAAGTTGCCCGTCAGCGGGGGATAGTGTTCTGTTAACGGGGGATAGTGTTCAGTCAACGGGGGAAGTTGTCCTGACAACGGGGAAAGTTGTTTCATCAACGGGGGAAGTTGTAACGACACGGGGGATAGTGTTCAGTCAACGGTGAAGTTGTCCTGACAACGGGGAAAGTTGTTTCATCAACGGGGGAAGTTGTTCCGACACGGAGGATAGTGTTCAGTCAACGGGGGAAGTTGCTCCGTCAACGGGGATGTAGTTCCGGCAACGGGGGAAGTTGCCCGTCAACGGGGAAAGTTTTCCTCTGGAGACAAAAATTCCTAGCGGAGACGAAAATTGCGGAGACGAAAATTCCGTTTATTTCTTTGGTGACGAATATTCCGCTGGAGACGAAAATTCCGAAAATGTTGGAGACGAAAGTTCCGAAAAGTCTTGGAGACGAATGTTCCAGAGACGAAAATTCCGGCACTCAAAGCTACACCTTTAATAATTCTAAAGATCTATTGTGTAAAAATCGGTTCTACTTGACTTTATGTTCAAATCGAACTTTATGAGTCCATAGGAATTTTATGAGTCCAATCATAGGCGAAAACTCCGAGTTTCGCGCGGAGTTTTGCGGCACGCGCCTCGCGGGAGTCAACGGTCGCTGGGTTCTTGGTCGGTAACATAAACCTATCCCTTTTTCATCACCAGCTTTGATCTGACGACCTTCCCTCGTAGCTCACAACAATCTGCTTTTGCTTCTAAGCTACACCTTTAATAATTCTAAAAATCTATTGTGTAAAAATTTAATAAAAATTTTAATTTTAAGGTGATTGAGTTTTACAAACAAAAGATACGTGTTGCTTTCGACAAGTTAAATGTTTATGATTTACAAAAGGCTAAAAGGTTGTCGCAAATATTTTTAAAATATAATAATGTAGCACGTGGTCGTAAAGAGGGATGTGCGACGTGGCGTTTGGCGCCATTTTAGGCTTTAGTCATATTTTCCACTAGAGTTGCGCGAGATCGAGATTTTAGAAAAAATCCGAGACCGAGATTGACCGAGACTCGCATGACCGAGACCGAGACCGAGATGCAAAATTTGACCCGAGACCGATATCGAGATCCGAGATAAACCGAGATTCTTCAAAACTTTTTTTATCCACCAAAACCCATTTAAATTAATTAAATATCATCTAAATCATCATCAAAATCAT